GGGCTATGGCGCTCCCCTCAGCAGCGCCCTGCTCCCTGCACGACCGCACGTGCCTGCACCTCGCCGCTCAGCGCTAGCAGCAGCCCACGAGCTTCAGCTCCAGCAGCGCTGTCACCAGCATGCCGTGCCCGAATCCCTGGCCAGGCAGCGAGCTCTTTCCTATATGGAAAGAGCCTGCCTCATTCGGCAGCCTGGCTGGACTGGCCTGGGCCCAAAAGCTTCCGGTAGGCCCCAGGATGCTGCGCCTCTGGTGCAGCTACTGGGCCTCATTTGGTTGGGCCTCCCAACTGTCTGCGTACGAGGCTGCGAATCTTGCCCAGGGCCTGTGCTTTCGGAAAGGCCTAGAAGGCCTGGGAATTTCCTCGCTGCTCGGCCTGTGTTTTCCTTCAACCAACTGGCGCGACGAAACTGCCTGGACCCCAAATGTGAAATTGACAGCCGAGGGCCTCTCGTGATTTGTTAGGCCCACCTTCACTTAGGGCGGGCACAGATGCAACAGGGGCCCCCTTAGGTCTGTCGTGGACCTGAATCCTTGCACTTGGTTGGGGGCCTTGGGGCAGAAAAAATTACCTCAACCTCATCACCGCCCGTTCCCACCACCACTTTGCCAGTTCAAACAAGTCAGGACCACCCAGGTTTCAGCATATATAACTTAAACCGCCAGTACCTTTCTCATACATCGCCCGCGGGCGCTGCGCGCCAAGGGCGGCCGATGTACCTGGCCCGCGCCGGAGGCGGAATAGGGCCTCCGTGTTAGCCGCCGCGCCTCAGATTTTCAAGCGGGGAAAGGTGCTGGTGGTTTAATAGGTCGAAGTGTCAGATTGTCAATTTGAAAACACGGTTCAACTCCTGCTATTCACTTCTTGCATCAAATTGAGAAAGAAAGGCCAATTAAGACCAAAGACTGGTGAGCCTAAATGATTGAAGACCATTATTCATTGACTGAAGTCAATGAAACTAAGTTAATTCATTCAAACAACCACATAAAGAGTGAGTTGGGTGCATGCAGCTCACACCCTTGGCCTGGGACAGCTTGAGATGGTGTAGCAGTTGGGGAGAGCTGCCTTGCAATCAAGATCTGCGACCCACCACGTGCAACACCGTCCCCAAAAGTGGTCAACCCCACCACCGGCTCCTACCCAACCCCGGGTCCACACGACGAGCAGGATCCACCTCCACACCCGACTCGCACCCTCACCCCCACACCCGACTCGCACCCCTACCCCCACCCCCGCACCCGACTCGCACCGCTACCACAGCCGCTGGGCCCATCCCAGCCCCTCCACCACCACCATGGCCTCCATTCAAGTTCGGCTATGAGCTCTGTCTCAAAACTGAGGACCTTCAATCCAGAAATTGACAAAATGTGGAAAAGAATCCTAAACCTGAACTCGGACAACCGTGTAATGATCCCTTGGAGAAAATATCTGACAATAGAACTCTCCCCTGAAAAGCAGTAAGAAGAACTGATTCCTGGTGCTCAGGAAAGTAACCCTGTGGGCCATCGGGAAGAGGGGATAAGCTCAGATGATCCAGGAAATCCTCTCAAAAAGACAGGATGCACGGGTCCAACTCTTAGAGAGCTGAGAGGCAAGATCGCCATCATCAGCAATGACAAGCGGGGATGAAAGAGACGGGACATATGAAGGGAAGTAAGCAGGGTTGTCCAGCCCCGGCAGCGTTGTTGAGCCCCGGCCCCGACCCCGGCTCCGGACGCCCCCCCCCCCAAAAAAAATAAATAAATAAATAAATAAATAAATAGTGAGGGGTGCGCAGTGACAGGCCGCACCGCATGGGCTTAACCCCAAAAATGAGGTTTTGTGGCCCACCCTGAACACCCCCCAGGGCCACACCCACCACTGGTGGGACCGGGCCGGCCTT